ACTATGTGGTCGCTCTAGGGTCGTTGAAAAGTCTACAATATGCATGAATTGACCCAGCTTGCCAGAGCTGAAGCGCAGGAGGAAGCGAGCGCTGGGGGGAGCCTTCAAGAAGCAATGCGAGGGGATAGGCCGAAGAAGGACCGAAGAACACCGAAGTCGCCGTGGCCCACCGTCTTCGATTCCGCGGTGCTCTTCGCTCCTTGATCGATACCCTCAGAGACTTGGACCTACGAAAAAAAAGCAGCGATGAACATGCAGTCGCGTTTCATTCAACCGCGCCATCGAAAGGGGCGAGCTCAGGCAGTTTCCCGCTACAGCGCAAGCTGAGGAGGGAATCCGGAGCTCCGCACTCCGCCAACGATCGAAGATCAGAGACGCCGCCGCATTTGCCAAGGTTTCGAAGATCAGGTGGGCCGGACACGTCATGCGTTTCGAGGACGACCGCTGGACCAGAGCAGTCACCGACTGGATTCCACAGGGATGTCAAGCGAACCCCTGGACGACCGCCTATGCGATGGTCAGACCTCTTCGTGAAAGCTCTGAACGAACGGTATGAAGTTCATCGTGTCCCTCGAGGTGAGAGAGTTCATTGGGCAACTCTTGCACGTTGCAGGGACGAATGGAGACGTTACTGGCGCCCGCTCGAGGAACTCGAGGACGGGAGCACAGGTGATACAGGTGATATTAAGGTTGTAGCAGTGGAACAGCACCAACTCAAGGGGTTTTACTGTTTAGAGTGCACACATAAATGACAGTTATCAGAGTTATTCCATGCAAGCATCTATGTGGACGAAAAGCGAAACCTGAATGCAAAAATTTGCAACCAAGGGAACTAAACTACCACCATCATCGGTGTACGCCACTCCTCCATGCTATCCACTAGACCATTCGTTTGTTTCATCAGCAAAGGTCTCTGAGTGAAGAGACCATCGCTCACTCTTGAGCACATGGCGCAAGTAAGACCCCACTTGCGACCATTTTTCACATCGTTTCTAAAAGTGCTTTGGAAGCACTTTTCACTCAGCATCTGATCAAAGTTGTAGGCAATTTACAGCGCATAGAGACTTAAAGGAAGCAGTTTACGAAATTTTCTTTTCCTTTCTTCTTCGGCATCCCTGAGATCGCTCAGCAAAAGTGGGAACCGCTTCTCTTATCTATGAATAGGCCCCTCAAAAATGCGAAAGAACTGACGAATACCCACGTCACATCACATTATTAAGATGCCACATGAATGCCGAAGGCTGCGACGTCTGCGAGAGGTGAAGCGTACCATAAAGGCCCGGAGAATGCGGACGATATGTGAGGATGAAGCCGCTGCATGAAGATTGACATCGCTGACGAGCGACGACTATACTAATAGGTTGTCCGGAAAGTTCTCAGCGTTTTGTGCACCTATTTTTTGTACATCCACTGCTGATTTCAAACTCATTCTGCCTTGCTTCTCAGTAGCACATCTTGTAGAGAATTTCTTGCGCTATCTGATGGTATAATTGCCGTTTCCCCATTGCTTTATAAATTCCCCCTTTTTTGAAGATTTTTTCCAAGCATGTGAAAAGAGCACTTCGGACGATTTTTTTCTTCGACTATAAATTGGGGCAATCCGCAATCGAAACAGCTCAACAAATTAACCAGGTGTGGGGGCCCAATAGTGCTAGAGAAAGCACTGTGCGGCAATGGCTCAACAAATTTCCTTCTGGAGATTTCAGCCTTGAAGATGAACCTGATAGCGGTCGACCCAAAGCAATATCTGACGAGAATTTTGAGGGGATTTTGGAGGCTGACCCATCCCAAACAGTTCGAAGGATAGCAGAAGAAGTGGGCCTTGGCAAATCCGCTGTTGCAGATGGTATGGAACATCTGCAACAGCGGATTTGCCAAGGCCCACCCAAGGCATTGGGAAGGTGAAAAAAACTCGGCAATTGGGTGGCCCACAATCGGAGTGACCGGCAGGAATCGGCAGGTCTCGAGGTTCCTTCTGCATTGCTTTTGCGCAGCAGAAACGACCTGTTTTCGGGCCGCATTGTCACCTGTGATGAAAAATGGGTCATGTATGACAACAGCAGACTTTCCGGACAGTGGCTGGATTTCGACGAACCACCGAGGTAATTTTCAACAAAGCCCAACCCTCACGAAAAAAAAATTCTGGTCACGGGCTGGGTGGTCCCGGCTGGGTGGAGTTCCACTATAACTTTTTATCACCAGGCCAAACCATCACAGCAGGAACCCTAATGTGAAGAAATCGACGAATTGTACCGAAAATTTTGTCAGATGCAGCCAACACTTATCAAAGAAAGGGTCGATCCTTTTGCATGACAACGCCGCGCCTACACGTTTCACCAAAATCACTATCCATAAATTGAACGGATTTGGGGGTTGAAGTTCTACCTCAACCAACATTATTCTTCAGACCTTTCGCCAACCGAACTATCACCTTTTCTAACATTTTCAGAGCTCCCTTGCTGGAAAATACTTCATCAATCAGGACCAGGCAAAAAAGCCTTAGTGGATTTCGCTGGAATTTCCGACCACCCAGTTTCTTACTTTGATGGGATTTATTCCGACTGGCTGTCACATTTGCAAAAGGTGTGCTGATTCAAATGTGTCCTACTTCGATTAAATCCGACGAGTTTTAAAAAGTTACGATCGTCTAAAGTGAAACATCCAAAAGGCTGATGAACTTTCCGGAAAACCTAATATATACTCATTTTTTGCGTTATGCCTCCACAAAGAGGATGCAATGCGCGATCCAAGACGATTTCTTGTATCTGCTTTGAGGGAGGATACGGGCTGAGATACAGTCAGAAGACCCCGTCCGGTGTCGCTGGCGACTTAAGTGGACCCATAAGATGGACACAGTTGTCAGATGGTTAGTGTCGGTTTACGGAACATCGTACATTTTTTATGGCAAGGCGCCATCTGTAGAACATGAGAAGCATAATCTCCTCAATACGAACAAAAACCTTCGTTGACGTTTAAGACTGCAACCTGAAAGTCGAAACAGGTCGAGCGATTCGGCCCTGGGAGAACTAAAGACAAACTGTACACTCACCTCTGCGGACGGTTCTTGCCAAGCGTTAGGCCGATGGGTCTGCAGCTGTAGTAGTGAACCAGTTCCTCTGCTAGAAAGTGCACGGGGACGGGGCTGAGAGCAGCGATACTCGATGCCGTCTCTATAGCCCGTCCGCGCTGTCCTCAAGGTGCAGCACTTGCGCCTATACCAAGGTCCCACAGCGAAACGCGTAAAACTCAGCACAGCGAAACGCGTAAAACTCAGCGGAAGAGAGCAACTAGGTGTGTGGCTGACCGTACAGCAGCGCTTGGAAACATGAAATGGCACCTGAGCGACCTAACCTTGATTTGTACTGGTAGGAATCGGGATCCATGGATGCGGATGTATAGTTGCCTTTAGATGACGGCATTGAAAAAAAGGGCGGCAGTTGTGATTTCTTGCATTCGTTTTGTTTTGACGGTTTCTGACCGTCACAACTGTCTGCAAAACCTAAAAAAATGCTGGCAAATTTGGCAGTTTTTCAGGTTTCGCAGACTGCTCGCTTCCAACTCGGCCCAAGGAAGTCTGGAGGGCGTAGAAATGAGAAGCAGGCGTGGTTGCGGAGAGACGACGACAAACCGAAAAGTGTGAGAGGACCTTTAGCACTTGTTTCTCGAAAGGAAGTCAGCTGGAAACTGATGGAAATAACATGAAGCGAAGAGTGCGGCAAAGAAGGCTGTGGCTGCTGCGAAAGCCACTCACCTCGAAGACGTCAGTAAAGAGCTGGAGGCGTACGATGGCAAACGGCACTTCTATCCACTTCGCAAGGTTCATATGGCTGCTAGATGGACGATGCTGAAAAGCTCTTCGGCACACAACGAGAAGAGTCCTCTTCCTGGTGGACCGGCGTGTAATGATTCGACGGTGCGCTTACTTTGAGAAAATCTCTGGAGTAGAGTGTACGCACCCGACTGTCTCTTGTGCCTCACCAGTATACGATCCCGTTCAAAAGACAACCTCGAAGAAACAGAAGCTGCTTGTGTGAAGATGAAGCTCGGAAAGGCAACAGGCACTGATGACGTGGCGGCCAACCTACAGAAGACACAGCAAAGATTAATATGCCAGAAGAGTTGCAAGAAAGCATAGTGGTACCGAATCAGAAGGACAGCCTTGCAGACTGCTCGAACTATCGTCTAGTTCGCGAATTCTTGATGACCGTGCTCGCGATATCCAATCACTATGGCATCGTGACCGACTGTTGCACCATCGATGCCATATATGCCACTCGCCTTTACTGGAGAAACATCATGCGAGGCTAAAGCATGGCCCTTCTTTGACTTGGAGAAGGCATTCGATTGTAAGCCGCGTGAAGTCATAGTGTACCTCACAGCAGCACGGCGTGCTTGAAGAGCTAGCTAAGAAAGTGCGCATCTTGCACTCTAGCTGAAAGGGTCGCGTGCGATTATCAGTAGACATCTTGATGGAGTTCTCCATTACATGCGGGGTGCAGTGCACCGAGACTCGGCGTTTCCCCACTCCACTTCCTTGTCGTGATGGATGTTATCGCACGTAAGCTTCAGGAACCGACTCCTTGGATGTTTCACTGCGCTAATGATGTGATCTCGTCTCAGAGGAGAAGTACGATATTGAGAGAAGGACAGGTGCAGGAGTGGTCCAATCCTGCCTCGTTACGAGCCTGGCTACATTCGGACGCAGGCCGAACGTCAAGAAAGACGTGTACTCGACAACCGACGAGACGAACGAAGTGGCATCACAAAATATGAACAGCGTACCTCACGACAAAACGGGACAAAGGCTGAAGAAGAAGAAGAAGTGAACTTTTCGAAATAAAACGTCGCAGATGAAAATATAAAGTAAGATGTCACTTTCGAAAAGGTATATACTAGGATTGACCTTACAACGCAGCTCCACTGTGGCACTCGGCCAGGAAAGGAACTGCTTCAAAAACAAGGATATGAAGAAAGGAAGTGGTTTTGGAGCTATGTGAAACTCACATTTTCACATCAAAAAGAATTACCGGTAGAACAATATAGAACCCACCATCCAACAGCTCATAAATCAATACGAAGTTGTTTTTGACGTTCTCTTCGTTAAGCTTTCCAAAATATGATTGCATCGCATTGCCGAAGCTGTTCAGGAACTAAAAAAAGAGCTAATCAACGAAAAAGTTGGAAAGAATCAATGTTTTTAAATGTTTTTAAAAAGTTCCCAGAGCCGATAGGTTCGCAACTTTTTCTAGTAGAAATCAGTAGCGATGAATTCAGGACAAAAGCCAAAATTTGTGCGATTTCGAAAATCCTGCGACATCAGATCATTCAAGTGTGAAACTACTTCCACTTTTAGGCGCCTCGACTTTGATAATAGTGAGTTGCGCGGGTCACTAGTGAAAAGGTGGTGTGATGCAGTAGTAAAGAAAGAGCAGGAAAAAAGTCATCCGAAACGCTCCGTATAGAACTCCGTGAGTAACCGAGCCTCTACTCGCACAACTCGAAGAAAGGGAGCAGCGGGACGAGTTCTCGCATGATGTTACAAGCTCCTCCCTATCATCTCACTCGAAGCAACAGAAATGGAGCAGGGCTATGGATGGAACAACACCACCACCAGCAAGTCGCCGAAAATAGAAGTTAGATGAGTTGGATTTTGCGTAAGGCAGTGGGCGAAACGATGCCTTCCGCACTTGTTTTGAGCAGCGAAAGTAGTACTAGCGGACCTGTGCTAGCGGACCGAACTACCATGTCCAAGGGACGCGTTTGCACCTAAGCGTGCCTTTAATGGTTAGTCATTACTGGGAAGACTGCGAGGAGCATTTCTCGCTCACTATACTTCTGTTTAAAAGCCAGCTACACGAAAGCAGTTTCTATCGGTCTGTCCTAAAAGCTCGGGACATTTTTTTAATATTTTTTTGAGTCAAGTTTATTTTAATGAGAAGCAATTTCGATCAATAATACAGTGGGTAACAAAAGTATGCAGACACCTCAAATTTTTGTCCTGCAAAATTGCCTTTGAGTTTTGCGATATGAGACCTTTATTGTTGAATTCCTCATAAGCGAGAACATAGGAACACACTACTTCTCAGCAACTTGTGAACTACTGTACAATTATTTATCGTTTTCGAAAAAGTTTCTTAATAACAAAAGTATGTGGACACCTGAGGAAGTCCAAAGTTTGGCTCCAGATCTGCAATCCATTTCTATGGTCTCTAGTCCCCATTAACCTATACTCATACCTCGTCGTGGTAGTCCTCTCTACGAAGACGAACAAGCTCGGATTCGAGCATTCAGTGCTGCAGGACACTCGAATAGAGAAATTGCAAGATAGCTTGGACTTTCGGCGGCGTACGTTGGTATACACCACCAGAATCCTGATGACTACCACTTATTACCTGTTTCGAGGCACCCACGAATCTTTGTCCGCGAAAGACATCAGAAGAATAGCCTCATACTTCCCGCTTTGTGGCACAGATCTATGCCACGATGAATCTACCGGTCTCAAAAATGACAATATGGCGCTCTATTCGATCAAGTGAGCACATCACTCAGAGACCACAAAGAAAGCTCCCTGTCTGACCCAGGCACCAGCTGGCAAGACTGAACTTTGCGCGTGCAAAAATGGCAACGTCGTGGGACAAGGTGCAGTTTCTTGAGATATTTGTAAAATCAGAAAGGCAACATCCTATGCGCATTTCCCTCTTAGGTTATCTTCAAAAGCCAATCTCGACGGTCCAGATGGATATCAGCATCACTGGAAAGGCCTTTGTAGCGATCCCTTGGTGTTCTCGAAACGAAATTTCGGAGGCGCCTCTTTGACGGTACGGGGTGGTTTTGGAAGCAGAGGAAAGTTGGAGCTTGCCTTCTCATGTGCTGTATGAACAAAGGGGAATACCAAGGAGTGCTTAAATCTAACCTCTTGCCTTTTCTGAGCGGGCACGACGCGGGACACATGTGATGCAGCAGGACAACGCCGCCGTGCATGCTTCAAATAGCACTAGTAAATGGCTCCAACGTAATGGTATCAAAGTGATTAATTGGCCGGTGTGTTCTCCTGACTGCAACCCAACCGAAATCCGAATCATGGTTCGACGAATCCCGTGAGAGACTTGAAGGGGCAATAGTAGCTGCATGGGAAGCAATCGACGAAGACACCATGACAAATCTTGTCCGCAGCATGCCAGACAGAATGTTTGAAGTAATAGTGAACATTGGAGGAAGAAACAACCAACTTCCATTCTCCATGATACATTTGTTTTTTGTTAAGTGTCCACATACTCCTGTTTTCAAAACAATAAATAATTGTTCAGTAGTCCACAAAGTGTTTAGAAGTGGTGTATTCCTATGTTTTCGCTTAAGAGGAATTCAACAATGAAGGTCTCATATCGCAAAATTCAAAAGCAATTTTGCAGGACAAAAATTTGAGGTGTCCACATACTTTTGTTACGCACTGTATATACCATTTTCACTTTGAATTTACTCTTTTTCAACTAAATTCACCCCTCTTCAAACCAAATGCACACCTTTTCAAATTAAATTCACCATCACTTTCCAAATCAAATTAACCATCACTTCCCAAATCGAACCTACCACACTTTTTAGGCCGCGCAATTCATCAACAAATCACGCCAGGCACTACTGCGGGGGTGTGTGGCAACAGAATCGTCCCGGCATCTGGTGGGCGTGGCCTGCGACATACATGCGGCGAGAAGACGAAGCGGGCTTCTGGCGGTTTGAATATGGTTATTGAAGGGAAGGTAAATATTGATATCACCCAGAAACGAGTCTTGTGTTCAGACGGTGAATTTCTCAAGAGTATGAAAAAGTTCGATAGAACACGAAATTCATTGGGGCCTCTAACATTGCTCTGGTTTGTCACCTTTTACAGCAGCTCACAGAACAAACTTGGCTATCCGTCTATTACATTGACGTTGGCTACTGCGTGAATCATGTGAACCACATGAACATATGGAGAATCACGGCCTTATCTGCCAAACAATTGTGTGTTACTATCAAGAAAAACATCATTAGATTTTCAATCACTGATGAAACCTGCTAAATGTTGCAGAAGTGCGATGTATCAAAACATCTGCTCCAGTCACAAAGCTACCGGCCAGCAAACCGTGAGCTGCTGAGTCATTTGCCGCGCGACGCGTCGCGGGCGCTGCCTTGGACGATCCTGTTGCACGTCTCGATCTTCGGGGCACTGGGAGCGGGTCATTGGTGAAGGAGGGAGTTACTCAACTTGGAGCCAAAATATTACTTTTTTAATCTATTCTCCTCTTTGTTTCATTCAGATAAAACCGACGGCACTTTTGAATGGGATGACCTAATACGATTCTAAAGGTAGAATGCGTGCCGCATTCCACAAAGGGATTGATCAACGGCGATGACTTCATCCTTTTTAAAGGACTATTTTCAACAAGTGGCTATAAGTATCCTCAAGAAGTCTGACTGACTGGACCAGAGCGACCACCTACTGGATTCTACGGTCAGTCAATCGTACACCTGAAAGGCTGACGATCGGAGTTTTGTGAAAGCTTTGAATGAACTATATGGTGTTCATCGCGCTCCCCGAGCACACAAAACCCACTAAGGCGTTTTTAGCACGTTGCAAGGATCATTGTGGACGTCATTGGAGCCCGCTCGAGCACGTTGATGATAAAAAGGAACACAGCTGACACAAGTGAATCTACTGTGCCCATTAATTCTACAAACCAAAAAGGCAAAAAACGTCTGTTGTGACTAATCCCGATTTTAAGTGCTCCCCGCATACGACTTTTTTTCTCCGAACTGTAATTATATTTGTCTGCTTGTTCAGCATACGTAAAGGTTTCCAGTGAATACATATTATTCTTAAGTTGTATAGAAGACATGGTACCAGTCTACCGAAGCTGGAGGGATGGACAGCTTGGGACCGTATGCTATCCTTCCCCTCGAGGAGAAATGTGCCCCGGCAAACCTCCTTTTCCTGCCGTATCTCTATGCCCCTCGTCTCTCTGGCTCTCGTCGCTCTGCACCTACATTTTCCCGATTTCGGGGCACGCTCTGTGCGAATATGGAGCCGCGTACAGTATAATCGACACGCTCTCCTCTCCCCCCAGCGCATGCCGTATGTGGAGATACCGCAAGAGTGGGGGAGCAAAGATGCAGACAGGCAGAAGGAGAGAGACGAGGGGTATCGATAGATACAACAGCGGAGAGCGGAGGTTCATTGGGAAATATATCCTTCGAGTGTACCATAGGGTCCCTTATTTGTCTGAATGCGAGTGGACCCTGCATTTAACCGCCGCCCTATTTCGCAATATGTCATCGCCCCTCTTCCGCTATCCTTGGGACGGAACTGAAAGAAAATAGGAGCAATCAGTGTTACAAAACTTACCTCAAACACCATTGCAGCGTTCACGTTTTGACGGGTTACAGTGCAAATCCAGACATTGCCTCTCTTCACATGAAAAAAAGAGGAGCGAGCCATAATCGTCACCGGTGTTCGAACCTAACAAATGTGCTGTATAAGAACTAACATGTAACATAAACATCACTGCATAAATTCGACCAGTTGCGTTACTTGAACTCGATCACACTCTGCAGTGAAATAGAATAGGTGTTATCTAGCCCACTACCCTTGAGGACGCTGTCCATGTTCTCGTAAACGGACTAATCCGTCCTCTAAGTTTCACTATTCGTGGGCCGACAATTTCCCAAGGCTCTGCCGGCCTTCTGTCGTGTAGGAACAATCACTGGGTATTAGAAAGGCGCCAGTTCAATACTAACAAATGCACCAGGCGCCCACAAGTTCCGATTGATGCAAGTTCTCTTAAGATGGTATGGTCACGATTACTGCAAAAGACAGAGCGTGCGAGGATGCGTGAATCGGATGACAGCCCGAATAACCTGCCCGCCAGCTATTGCGAACTCATGAAAAACATTAATGATGGGACGGCTGCCTTGAGGGCGCTATAGTTTACGCCATGTCGCCGCATACGCCCCATCTTTTGCGGGGATTGAGTGTAAGGGAATGATTAGAGAGCAGTTTGATTCCTATTACGGACTGATGAAAATTGGTCTATGAAAGCACAAAAAATTATTTCATCTAAACCACCTGTTTGAGCTGCTTCTTTACAACGGCTTTCCCATTACTTTCGGTGCAAGCTGAAGCCAAACTACCTACTCCCCACATTATCCGACCGTACGGGTAGGGTTTACCGTACTGACGCGGGTAAAGCAGAAGCACTCGCTAACTATTTATCCATCAGTATTTTCACGTCCAGCTTCTCTTATGAACGGAACCTCACGTACTTCCCGCATGTTAATAATAGTCTCGCGGAGGTCTTTGATCCTTACGCCGTTCCATCATCCTAAAAAAGCTCCATCCCTCAACTAGTGAACCTTATGATGGGATCCCACAAATAGTTCTTAAATGTTACTTTTCCTCGTGTAAGCCACTGGCTAACAGGTGATGTCTCTCAGCTCTGGAAAGATGTTATTATCACTCCCATTCAGAAGTCCCCCAAGCCATCCACACTGAGCAACTTCCGCCCAATCAGCCTTGCCCCCGCTTCTGTTAAGGTGATGGAGGAAATTATAAACGGAAGGTTGTTAGCTTGGCTTACGAAACTCCGCATAATACCTCAAGAACAACACAGTTTCATTCCAGGCCTATCTACCTGTACTAATCTTACAGATACTTTGACTTTTGTAAGGCACGTAATGAAGGCAAATCGATTGATGTTGTCTATATTGACTTTCAAAGGCGTTCGACAAGGTTTGCCACAATAAACTACTGGCCAAAATGGAAAAAGTGGGAATTCAAGGGATCGTAGCTTGGTTAACTTCGTATCTTTATGACAGGCACATGACTGTTAGAATCAAGACTAGTTTCCCCAAGAGATACCTTTGTGAAAGCGGGGCTCCAAAGGGTGGTGTGTTATCCCCGCTATTGTTCTTAATCTACATTATGGAGCTGACTAATCTTCTAAAGACACATGGTACGCTCACATACATTGAGAGTGTATGTGACTATCAGCCCCAGCTGTCGATGTGGTTTTCCCGCCGGAAACTGCACGGGATTAGAGTTCAGGGCTGGGGAAAGTCTAATTCGTCTATGCTCCGCCCAAAATGCAACTTGCGGCGCAGACTCCCTTTGTGCTGGCAGGCGTCCGCGCGGCGCGTGTCGCGCGCAGCTCTCTTGGCTTTTTGCCAAGTCCTGTAATTGCGCTCTGGAATACAAGTAAAACACAATTTCCTGATGCGGATAACATTTTAGGTGCTCAAAATAAGAACCGAAGATGATGACGAGGGGCAGAACTCAAGAGCAACTGTGCTGCTTTTGCAATATCCCTCGGAGGCCGCGCATTCCCACAGAACATGAAAATAAGAACGGCTTAAGCTCCCACTCGTTATTTTGAAGTATTTCTATGGCTTTGGAGTTGAATTCGAGCCGGATCGCAGAAATGCACACGCGATTTTGATTAATTTGCGTTTCCTTGAATTTTTCATTTTTGTTTTATTTACATCTACATTTGTTATTCTTCAACCTTTGTCATCTTCATCACCTTCTGTTTGAACTTTGCAGCATGAGCAACACCTCAGATGTTATTAGCATCAGGAAAGTGCTTATTGCTTGTATTGAACTAATGAGTGGAACGCTTAGACCGTTTTTATTTTCATGTTTTGTGGGAAGCGCGGCCTCCGAGGGATATTGCAAAAGCAGTACAGTTGCTCTTGAGTTCTGCTCCTGGTCATCATCTGTGGTTCTTATTTTGCAGCACCTAAAATATTATCCGCATCAGGAAATTGCCTTTTACTTGTATTCCAAAGGGCATTTACAGGACTTGGCAAAAAGCCAAGAGCTGCACACGACACGCGCCGCGCGGACGGCCGTCAGCATCGTGGGAGTGGGCGCCACAAGTTGCATTTTGGGCGGAGCATGGTTCTAGCCCCGTGCAGTTTCGGGCGAGGAAACCACGACACATCGACAGCTGGGGGGGCTGATAGTCACATACACCCTCAATGTATGTGAGCATACCATGTGTCTTTAAAACCTGGCCTGAAATTACAATTCAAATGTATGCGGATGATGTCAAAATCTATGGAGTTCTTGATCGAACCACTATGCAACTGTGCGCGGTACATTAAAAGTTTCTGTTCATAAACTGGTTAAAGGGGCTTTTCATTGGGATATCACTCAATCTGAATAAGTGTTCGGTTATGCACATTGGGAATCTTGGTCCGGCTGATTATCACATCACCGACATTAAGCTTACGATGCGTCAGTCTGCTATGGATCCTGGTGTCCTTTTTGACTCAAAGCTGAACTCCTACTCTCACATAAACCAAGCCGCAGAGGAAGCTTTCACCAACTTATTCGCACGTTTCCGTAACGTGAAATCTTCGGATGCGACAGTGCTCACTTGCCTATACAAGGCCTATGTACTGCCACATCTCGAATATTGCTCACTGATCCCTTATATTAAGAAGTATATCAGTAAAACTGAGAAAGTTCAGCGTTGTTCACCCGACCCCTCTGGTACCAAATTGCGCGTAACACCAGTCGCAGTGATTTGCCCAGTTATGAAGAGAGCCTAAAGGTGTTTTCGTTACGATCGTTACGATTTAGGCGGGTGATTGTTGATTTAGTGTTCGGCTTTCGGGTCCTCCCTAGGGAACCTAAATTGATTTTGTGTTCGGCTTTCGGGTCCTCCCTAGGGAATCTAAATTGCGCTGTAGTAAGTACTGGCTCTTCAGACAAGCTGCAGGTAGGCGAGGTGGGATTGACCTGGACTGTCCTCGCGCTGGCCCTAGATTTCGCGCTTTGACGCCGAATATTATATTTTACCGATGTGCTAGATAGTTTAATTCGCTACCCCCTGAAATACTTGGATCACTCGGTAGTGCTTCGTTTGAAAGGAGATTAAACAAGGTGAATTTTGGTCAAATTCTTAGTCATTCCGATGTGTGCACTTCCTTTTTCAAATGATGCTTCTTCCCTTTCGTGCAACTGCGTGCCTGGATGACTCCCTTCACTGGGTGCCTTATAAGCCACAGCTGGTACTTGACGCTGACTTGACTGGATGTTAGAAGTGTCTTACATAGAGCTCGTCTTAGAGTTTTAGCTTCATTTTATTGTCACGCATTCATTCTTTTCGTTCTCTGCTGGACGCTTAGGTCTGTTAGAATTTTAGCAGCCTATCTTCCTAATACCTTAATTGTGAGGGATTTCGTCAGGTATCATACAGTTATAGCTTTGTTTCTTCACCAGTTTGCCCTGAGAGTTCCTGCTTCTGTTTTCCTTGGTTGGTCCAACAGGAGGAATATCCAGTGTTCTCTGGCTAAGTACCCCCTCTTCATTCATGGAGTTCAGCTTCTTGCAACGTCGGCTCTGATCAAGGCTCGGAGTCTAGTAACCCTGTTTTTGTCGCTTCTGACCAGTATGCCGGTTCCCACGTGGGCCTGCTGTATACCCGCGTCTCGAAGTGCCGGCATACCCCTGTGACCCCTCATGTGGCGCTGAGGGCGACGTGACCAGCTGTGCGGACAGTAGCTTCATCACTGGTTACTAATATCTTGTGAGCAACCTTCTAGAAATCACGTACGATACCGTACTTTCTTTGTGGTCTATGGCATTGGCCAAATACCCTCCTGCTGACTCCTCTCCTTCCGCCTTCTTAATTCTGGAACTCCATCCTTCTGACCAAGCTAAGAGCTGCTTTGGTTCATTCTTCACGACCTCTTAACTGCACAAAATCAAATTTGCAGTTTAATTTTTTGTTTTGCGTATCTTGTTTTCGATTTGTTTTTGTTTGCTTCGGAATTAGTTTACTCTGCATTGCTACTTTGTTTTGTTTGAGCGTAATGTAATTACGCATAAGCAAATAAAAAAATAAATAAATACCCATAGAATACACATTTTTCCAGGTTAGGAGTTTCCGCTGAACCGATGAATATCGCCCTTATTCAGTTTAAAACCCTTGTGACATTTGTAAACAGGGGGACAGGCACAGAACACGTCTTCAGCCACAATGGTGTCAATAAATTTCGAAAAAAAACTGGGTCGGCAGGTTTCTTACGGGCTAGTGCAGGCGACTTAGGAGCTTTGTGATATTAGAATGCTCATGAAAAATGCAGAAACAAAACGTCCTCACGGGGGATTAATCGCAACGATCTTCGCTTGAGAAACTCGCTGCTACTTGTTACGCTCCTTTTACCACGTATCAGAGTGACTCTCCACATATGTAGGACGCTTCACGTTTCCTCGCGACAGCACGTAAAAGAACCATGCAGGAGAAAAGCTCCATAACTGCGTCCAGAGAATCGTTCCGCAAAATTGAAGTTAGATTTTAGTTCATCGCCTCAAAGAGGCATACAAATGTGTGCGGATTGAAAATGGATGTGCTGAACTGTTGCCCTTTCCTGGTGAATTCGTGTAAGCTGAGACCTTGCCGGTAGATCGCGTGTCAAGTTGCGTGTTGCGAAATAGCCTGTTCTGAGTCAGAAACGATAGATTCCTGCTGACAAAACAGTACTGACAAAATGTGAAAAAGTTCATAAGTTGACACCCACTCCTGGTAAGGATCAGGCGCCCTTGCACAGTGTGCGTGGAAACGGTACAGACGGGAAGCGAGCTCCGATTTGGTGCGGTGGTCGCGCATTGGTGCTTAGGAACTTAGTAGAACGCGGTGCTTAGGAACGCAGCAGCATCCCGGTCTCTGTGAACCCCACAACTTTGCCGGAATGTTGCTGCGCTGATGTTCCATGCTGGAGAGAATGGTGGACCGAGACCGTGCAACTTGAGCGCATTGGAGGATATGTGAGCATCACCGAGAACGGTGACTCTTTTCACTTCACTACTTTTGCGAACGTTTGTGTGTCAGCGGAGCGCGCTGGCTTGGACAAATCATTCCAACTTCACAGCTCACTCTTCTTACGAGTATTCTCCTGGAGTGCTAGCATGAGTCTGTCATAATTCGCAAAGAGCGCAGACTTAACCATAGGCCGAATAGAGGGAACAAATCGACCTCGTCTCATTTCCTGTCCTCCTCAAAATCATTCTCCGGAAGAAGATGCTGGCATGGCCTGTTTTGAACAGCAAGGAAGTTTTTAAAACAGCGGATCTAGGAAAAACGGCTCCTCAAAAACGGAGCTCTTCTATATTTAGGCGCTGTTTATGTTTTTCTGGGATGGTCACTTGTGGGATAAAGTTATGACTGTGCCGAGACACAAAACTCTTAGGTGACATTGAAAATCAGCAACGCCATGATGGGGAAGGTTCCTTGGGAAGGGCGAAATCGCTTAAGCACAGGTAATAA